CCCACACAGGCGGCCTGTGGTGCCTCCGGCCCGGCCGGTGCTGCTCGCGGGCGCAGACCCGGGCAGGCTTCCCCTTGGGCCTGGAGCCTTTGCGCCCACCTGCTGGCCTTGCAGTTGGAGAGTCCCCTCCCCAGGCCTTGGAGAGCTCCGTGTCGCGTTCTGCGACTAACGAGAACAAATGTCTTCTGTTTCAGCCCTCTTTAGTGTTTCTGACAAAACTGGCCTTGTGGAATTTGCCAGAAACCTAACGTCTCTGGGTTTGAATCTGGTCGCTTCCGGAGGAACTGCTAAAGCTCTCAGAGATGCTGGCCTGGCAGTCAGGTAAGGTAGAGCTTAGTTTTTAAGGTAAGTCCAGGCATAAATTGGTCACATTAAAACCAGACAGTAATGAAGTCCAGGTGCTCTGAGTAAGAAGCGTACCTTATACCCCTCCCTGGAGCGTTGTTAGGTTGGCACACCCCTTACCCACATTTGAGGAAGAGGAAAATGAGGCTGGGAGAGGTTTAGCAGCTTCTGTACAAGTTTGCAGAATTGAGTATGAATTGTTCTCAATTTAGAACCCTGGTTCTTAGCCACTTCCTTTATTCATTACGTCACGTGGGCCATCTGTTCTGAGCAACAAACACAAAAGTTACGGTTCATATGATTTCCTCTAACTGGCTGTTTAATAAAACGATTTACATCATGAAGATTCACATCTGCCCATCTACTTCCCAGTAACCATATGAAGATACAAGTCATTGATTCTGTTGTTCACCAGCTGTTCATAACTGTGCTATGGGAAGGGATGCACAGGACATAAATCAGGAAGCCATTCCTGACCTCAAGGAGCTGGCTTTCTGAATGGAGAGGGAGTAACTCTACTGAAATATATAAAATGAAAAAGGCCATAGCACAGCTGTAATAAACTGCACGGAGAGTTCAGAGGAAGGGCATATATTTTTAAAAAGAGATGAAAGCTCTCTGCCTTGCTGCTATGTGGAAGACTTTTTTTTGGTATTGGGGATAGAACTTGGATCTTATGCTTGTGAAGCAGGCGGCAGCACCACTGAGCTAAATCCTCAGCCCTATGGAAGACTTTTTTTTTTGCCCTCCAAGTCCATGTAGAGGTAGATTATCCACCTTTTGTTCATGTAATCCTGCTTTATGTGAGCAGTGCATAGCTTTCCTAGATTTGACAGGTTCAGATGGTAAGAATGCCTTAGTTTATTTAATACTTTATTTCTAAAGTTCCTTTTGTATCTTGTCTGTGATGTGGTTCTTCTGGAAACCCTGTGAGAATCACAGAACGGGAACAAGATGAAAATCCAGTTTAGACCCAAGTTCCTTCCATTAGGCGAGGCTGGAGTCTGCTGTTGTAGTTGAAACTTTCTTCAAATTAAGCAAAATTCTCACCTGTGGTCTCTTCTTTTCCTGCCAAATTTTGTGCTATGGAAACAGGCATCATCAAAACTGGAAACATGTAATGAGTTCTTATATTGTGGGTCATCTAATTTAAATACCTGCCCTCTGCCCACTCCTCACATCCCCATTACATAAGTCCTCACAATAAAGTTTTACTATAGGTAGTATTATCCCCTTTGGGTAGAGAAGGAAACTGAAGCACAAAGAAATTAAGTAAGGGGCTGCTGTAGTTTAGTGTTTGAGCACTTGCCTATTCTATACAAGGCCACATGTCTGATCCCCAGCACCACAAAAATGAAAAATAGAAATGAAGTCACTTGCCTAATATTACATACCCCATGAAGTTAACCATTGCCTTCTGTAGTAACCTGAGATTTAATCAGCAGGTACATACCAATGATCACATGGGGAATTCATTTGGAAGACTCTAGTTATTACATACAAATTTTTTCAAGTACAAAGGAGTAGCAAGCTTTTGAATTACCCTTAGCATTTAATTAAGAATAAACTTGCCATTTGAAGTTTTAAGCAATTTTCTTTAATTAGAGGAGCCAGATTTTAATTCCTCAATTCCTCAGAAGGGAATTTGGGATTTGAAACCATGTGTCACCAGTTTGACAGAGGACCATTAGAACTGCATATACCCTTGGCCAAATGTAGCTTATCTGCAAATGGTCCTCCTTGATGGCGAGTCAACCAAGGAAATTCAGCATCCTTTTAGCCAAATTTGCTGTTGTAAAATGTTTTAATTTCTTCCAATAAAGGCTATTATGCTAATTGTAAAAAATTTGGAAAATGTGTAAAACTAGCATATTAATGTATTTCCAGTGTTTTTTATAAGCCTACCCATTATTTCAGAACTGACACAGAAAGAATTTTGTGTCCTGCTTTTTTTGCTTATGTATTATGAGCATTTTTACACAACAGATTCCATCAGAGGATGTTCCTGGGTACAACTTGGTGGACATCAGTTTGATGATGCAGATTCATATTTAGCTGTTGTTTTTCATTTGGCCCTTAATCCTATTTTGTGATGCTCACTCCCTTTTTTTTCTGTGTAAAAGATTTTTTTTATTTATATAGTTTCAGTTTAATGTTGTGAGTCTTTAAATATTCCCCACATACTTAATTTTGGTACTTAACATGGTTTTCTAAAATGCTTAAACCCTTGATTCATCAGGAATTTATTTTTGCATAGAGTTAACTAGTTACCACTTTACTAAGCAGTCTTTTCCCACCAGTTTGATTTGCCATTTTATGCTTTTTAATCATAAAATTAAATTCTTAGGTCTACTTTGGACTGTTTCTGGTGTAAAGATATTTTTAATGCACCAATTTGATTTGCCATTTTATGCTTTTTAATCCTAAAATTAAATTTTAGGTCTACTTTGGACAGTTTCTGGTATAAAGATATTTTTAGTGCATTTTGTTATATACTGCCAAGTTGCTTCTCATTTGACTTTATTTCTTAATACTATTTATTTAGTACAATTTATGATTCAATTTCTAAATTCCTTGACAGTTGTAAAACCAATGCTTTAATACTTATCAATTCTCCCAGTCACATATCAGTTACAGTAAACATGAGGTGGGCGTCGGTGGCCCATCCCTATAATTCTAGCATTCTGGAGACTGAGGTAGAAAGATCAAAAATTTGTGGCCAACCTGGTCTACATAGTGAGACACTGTTTAAAAGGGAGGGAAAGATACATTTTCTTGAAAAGTAAATAAAATTTTACATATATAAGAAATCAAATGAGAAAAAATTTAAGCTAGAGTAATTTTCTGTTCAGTGTCTGTAAAACAGTCTCTTGCGATAAGAACAGTATGCTTGATGGAAGATGCTTTAAATGATGTGAAGTGACAGTTCAGAAACAGTGGTAATGTTCTTTTCATTTGCAGAGATGTCTCCGAGCTAACAGGTTTTCCTGAAATGTTAGGGGGTCGTGTGAAAACCTTGCATCCTGCAGTCCACGCTGGTAAGTAGTTGATATCTTCAGTTTAAAGCAGTCAGCAGTTTTTAGGAATATTTTAATTAACTTCTTAAAACAAAGGCAGAAGAGAAGTCACAAGCTCAAAAAAAGTTTATTTCTAAGTTTATATTGGTTTTGTCACATTGGCTTTCCAAGTTTATAGTACATTAGTACCTGTTTAAAATCTGGCTTGCTTTGTTACATGATGAATGCAGATGGTTTTCTTCTGCTTCCTGTTAGTCTTGACCTAATAACTAATTTAAATTAGAGTGTGATGTTTCTGTTCAGTTACTGAAAGTATTTAGATTTTATAGTATAAAGTTTAGACTTTTAGAGTAGTTCACAGGTAGAATAAAGTAGCACAATATAAACTGAATTTTTAAATGAAAGTTTTCTGTATGCTTTACATGTGTACATTTGTCTAACATAGCAAATTGCACATAAAATGGTGAGAAATAAGTATATAGTATTGCTAATTTGCCAGTTGCAGTAAAATTTAGCAAGTAAAGGCAGCATGGCAAAGGATCACCAGACAAACCATTGATTTATGGGAATACAGACTGTGATGGACTTTGAACAGTTTTGTAAAAATTCTTTTTATAGTTTTTGTTGCTCAAGAAAAGGGAATTATGTACTGATGCAAAAAATTTTTAAATATATCCATTGATGCTAATTTTTTGTTTGATAACTTTTCAACTCTGTATTCTTTAGTTATGAATATTAGAAGGCTTTACTGGGTGGGTGGGACTACTGGAAGAAATACCTTACTTTTTTTTTAATTAATACTTGATTTAACTTTGTTATATTAGGAATCCTGGCTCGTAATATCCCAGAAGATACTGCTGACATGGCCAAACTTGATTTCAATCTTATAAGGTAAAAATTTGAAATTAAAATTTTAGCACATTAAAGAAGAAAAAACAAAGAACATGCCAAACCTATTGTTCCTTTCTTTCCCCCTCTGTTTTCACTCAGTGTAAAGCTTTACTGAATCCCTTCTGTGTGGCATTCGACATGTATAAGCATTCTGGTTTTGTCACATTTGCATTTTGCATCCAAAATATGTAACTTAAATTCTTGTATCCTTTTTTGTTGTTTGGTCTTGAACCCAGGGCCTCACATTTGCTAGGGAAGTACTATCACTGAAATAGAGCCCTAGTTCCTAATCGTTGTTTGTTTAGAAAGTTATAATCTAAATTTTGTTAAATCTGACTTAGTTGCTAGCATAAAGATATTGATTGTTACCTTTAAGTACAGTGATACTTTGGTTTTTAAACTCAGTTCATTTCAAATTTTTGTTCAAACATCAAAAATTTCAAGAATTGAATGTATTTTCCCATAAAAAATTGGAAAACCAAATAATTGATTCTGAGACCCAAAAATTACATTTATAAATTCGTTTTTCTAGGACTTTAACAAATTTTGCAGTTATTTCATTATGGTGGTTCTCATAGTTTTCCTCTTAGCTTACTGCTGGTATCACTAACTTTCTTCGGAATCATGGTTGTGATATTTTATGCAAATAAGGTACGAAAGAAAGCACACAGTGATGAATGTTTTAATGCACCAGCACAAGCACTATATCTTGCCTACGAGAGAGCGGTGAACCATCACCCTTTGTGTCCATGACAAGAAAGTTCAAGTTTGGAGGTGTTTGACAACCAAAGTATCTCTGTGTATTTAATAGGTTTACTGTGGTATAATTTACATATCATAAAATTTACCAGTTTACAATATGTTCTCATGTTATGCAACTATTACCACATTCGATATTAGAACATTCATTGTTACCCTTCCCCCAAAAAGGACTATACTATTTCTTTTTTAATATATATTTTTATTAGTATGTATAAATTTTACAGAATGAGTTTCATTGTGGCATTTTCATCCTTGTGTATAATGTATCTTGATAATATGTATCCTTCCTATTACCTCCCTTACACTCCTCTCCCTTTTCCACATCTTATTTAATAATCTCCCTTCTACTTTCATATTTTTGTTTAGATTCCATATATTAGGGACCTATTACTGTCATTTTTGAGTCTGATTTATTTCGCTTGATAGGATGGCCTCCAGTTCCACCTCTATTGTGTGAATGATTTTATTCTTCATTGCTATTGAATAATACTTCATTTTTTACATGTGACACATTTTCTTATTCCATTCCTCTGTTGATGGGCATCTAGGCTTTTCCTGTATCCGGGCTGTTGTGATTTGTGCTGCAGTAAATACGGGTGTGCAGGTATCCTATCCCTATTGTGTGTAGACTTTAATTCCTTCAGGATGTGCCAAGAGTGGAATAGATACATGGGTCATATGGTAGTTCTGTGTTTAGACATACCGCATTCTTTAGCATTTCCTTCAACACCTTCCAGCCTTGGTACCACTGAGCTACATTCTGTCTCTGTGGATTTGCTTATACTACAATATTTTCCCCCTGTATTAGAGATTGATTGAACCTAGTACCCAAGGCCTTTGCACTAAGCTGCAGCATTTTTTTTTTTTTTTTTTTTTTTGAGACAGATTTTTGCTAAGTCATTAAGTTGCCCAAGCTGGGCTCAACTTGTGATCCTCCTGCCTCTGCCTCCTAGACTGGTCCTTTGTTAATTACTTCTTTTTTTACGTAGCATGTTTTCAAAACATTTACATACATAGCATGTTATTAATTTTTTTTCCCCAGTACCCTCGATCGAACTCAGGACCTTGGTGCTTACAAGGCAGGCATGGCAACACTGAGCTAAATACCCTACCCTGTCACACCATCATTTGTTGAAAAGTGTATTTTTTCCTTGAATGGTGTTGGCAACCTTATCTGTATGTCTCATTGTTCTGGCACTACTGTAGCTCAGCAGAAATTTTGAAATCAAGAACTGTTGAGTTATCCCAGCTTTGTTTTTCTTATTAAAGATGGTTTTGCCATTCAGGGACCTTGCATTTCTATGTGATTTTTACGATCAATTTGCTCATTTTTGCAAAAGAAGCAGTTGGAATTTTCCTAGAGAGTTGTTGAATCCATAGATCAATTTGGAGAGTATTGCTATTTTAATAATATTAAGTCTTTCAACCCATGAATATGGAAAATTACCATGTATTTCTCTCTTTTTTTTTTTTTTTTTTTTAGTTTCTTTCAACACTTTTATTTTTTAGTATACACGTTTTATGTTTTTATGGGACTTTTTTATGAATATTATTTTTGGTGCTGTTTATAAATGGAATTGTTTTCTTAATTTTATTTTCTGATTATTCCTTGCTAATGTGTATTAGTGCAATTGATTTTTGTATATCAACCTTATATCCCTTGCCTTGTTGAACTCATTTATTAGTACTAATAGGTTTTTCTTGTAAGCTCTTTGGATTTTCTATGTATAACTTCATGTCACCTGTGTGTAGAGATTTGCTTCTTTCTTCTCAATCCTGTTGCATACTTTCTTTGTGAGTTTCCCTGGCTGAAACTTCTAGCATGATGTTGGATAGATGTGGTAGGAGTGGACATTCTTGTTCCTGATCTTAGAGTTTCCCTCTAAGATTTATTCAGCCTTTCATCATTAAGTATGGTGTTAACTATAGTTATTTTTTTCAAATTTCATTATATTGAAGAAATTCCCTACTAGTCTTAATTTGGTTTTTTGTAGGTTTGTGTGTGTGTGTGTGTGTGTGTGTGTGTGTGTGTGTGTGGTTTTTTGGTGGTTTTGTTTTTTGAGACAGGGGCTCACTTTGTAGTTCATGCTGGCCCTGAACTCATTATATAGGTCAGGCTGGCCTCAAACTCACAGCAGTCCTCCTGCCTCTGCTTCTCAAGTGCTGGGATTACAAACATGAACCACCATGCCTGGCTTGCTAGTCTTAATTTGTTGAATATTTTCCTTAATCATGAATCAATATCAAATTTTGTCAAATACTTTTTATTCATCTACTGAGGTGATCAGGTAGTTTTTGTCCTTTATTCTGATTATTTATTCATTTATTTATTTATTGGTTTTTTTGAAACAGAGTCTCACTATGTAGTTCAGGCTGGCCTTCAACTCACAGTGACCCTCCTGCCTCAGCCTCTCAAGTGCTGGGATTATAGGTGTTCACCACCATGTCAGACTATTCTGATATTTTATTAGTTGATATTTGGATATTAAACTAACTGTACATTCAAGACTTTAAACCCCTACTTTGCTATGATGTGTAATTCTTTTTTACTTTCCATTTGCTAGTGTTTTTGTGGATTTTTTTTCAGTGTGTATGGAAATGGCATTCTCTAGTTTTTTTGTGACACATTTGTCTCACTTTGGTGTCAGGGTTGTAGGCCAATAGGATGAACTGATCAGTCTCCTCCTCTTTCTGTTTTATTAGTGATCATCAGTTCAGCTTAGAGGCTGGGAGCCTGCCCTCAGTGTACCTTAATTTGTAGTCCTAGGAGTGGAACTCTGTTCACTAGTTAATTTAGATCTGTTCTGTATTTTAAATTATTATTTTTACCTAGCTGTTACTATCCATTTTACGACATCTCTTATGACCTCTCTGAAGGCAAAATAAACAAATATCTTACTGTTAGAATGCACCATTGATTTTCGTCATTGTACACAATTTGTGGATAAAGAATGTATAATTTAAAATATCCTAGATAATAGTGTCATGGTATTATCTGTCATCTTTCAGTTCTCATTTCTATTAAAAATGTTTTATGTTTTTGATGATTTGATAGTAAGGGGTAGCTAAGATTACTTGAGTAGCAATATTGCATATGGGGTTTGGAGAGACCCAGAACAATTTACTGCTGGGTAAATTACCTATGCTTTATAGCTGTAGAACACCCAGGCTTTTTCACACAACTTTTTAGAATTCTAAAGTGTTATTTGGTAGCTTTTGTGCATGAGTATACATACACAGGGCCAAGGCGTGTAGTTTGCTGTGTACCTAAAACCATCTTGTCCCTGCTACTAGTGTTTCACAAAACTTAATGCTTTTTGTAAGCATTCACTCCTATAGCACAATATGATGAAGCCACAGAGTCACACAGTTTTGTTTTTTCTTATTTTATTTTTTTTTTACTTTTTTTTTAGTACATTTGTAGTACGTAATGATTGCATTCATTGTAAGGAGATGGTACATTGACATAACATTTTTATGTCCCCTTCTGGTCTCCGTTTCATCTCTTGGTCCTCTTCCCATTTTCAGATCTACCTCCCTGTTTCCTATTATCTATTATCTATTTATATTTCTCTTGTGAAAGAACCCATGTAGTATTTAAGCTTGTGTGTCTTAATTTCTTTCACAGTTTATATTTTAGATCTTTGTGTTTTGGTGACATACATAGTACTGACTCTTTTGTTTCCTAGTTATAAGACATATAAGTTAAATTTTGAATGATGGCTGAATTCCCCTTCGTTTTAGCGTCGTTGCCTGTAATCTGTATCCCTTTGTGAAGACAGTGGCCTCTCCAGACGTGACTGTTGAGAAGGCTGTGGAGCAAATTGATATTGGTAAGTTAGCAAAACCATTTTGAAACTAGTAGAGGAGGAGGTTATTTAAAATTCTAATGAGATTTCCTTTTGATTTTCATTATTGAGGAAACAAAAAATAGTTATTTCTCCTAGATCATATTCCAGAATGATTATAATTCATCTATATTTTATAAGCCTCCTCCCCAAGAACCCAGAACCTCTCATAGGCTAAGCAAGCACTTTGGCACTGAGCTTTACGTAGTCCTAGCTAAAGCTTTTTTTTTTTTTTAATGAGTCATCTGGATGTCTTTTTCCACTTACTTACTTTTTTACAGGAGGACTTCAAGTAGAAGTGTGTGCACCATGACTGTACTTGAAAGAGATTCGTCTGTTGATAATGAAATACAACATTTTTTTGTCCTTCAAAGGTGGAGTAACCTTACTGAGAGCTGCAGCCAAAAACCACGCTCGGGTGACAGTGGTGTGTGAGCCAGAAGACTATGTGGCAGTGTCCACAGAGATGCAGAGCTCTGACAGTAAGGACACCTCCTTGGAGACCCGACGCCAGTTAGCCTTGAAGGTGGGACGCACTTGTTGTAGTCACTCTGTCCAGTGCAGTACTGGCCAAGCCAAACGGTATTGAGTTCTGGCTCAATTCTATCACCTCTTGAAGCTCTGCCTGGAGAGACCAAATAGTATAGGAATATTCTGTGAGAAAGATTGTAAGAGAGTTGCAAAGAGATAATTCGTTCTGCCATTCAGTGTTATTTGGTAGCTTGTGTGTGTGAGTATACACAGGACCAGGCCATGTAGTTTGCTGTGTACCTAAAACCATCTTGTCCCTGCTACTAGTGTCTCACAAAACTTCACACTTTTTGTAGGCGTTCACTCATACAGCACAGTATGATGAAGCCATCTCAGATTACTTCAGGAAACAGTACAGTAAAGGAGTCTCTCAGATGCCCTTGCGATATGGCATGAACCCTCATCAGACCTCTGCCCAGTTGTACACGTTGAAGCCCAGGCTTCCCATCACAGGTAAAGTCTTGTGTGTTTTCTGCCACAGTTGGCTATATCTGGATGCATGTATATCTTTATCTGTGTTGTAGCTAATGTGAATTACATTCGGAAAGTGAAGTAAATTACATAATGCTTCTTGTAGCCATCCAAGATTGAGATGCCAGTTGGAATTGTGAGCACAGATGAAGTAATCTGGGGTCGTGAAGAGAGGTCAGGTTGGAGATAACAGCTTGGAATATCTTTGCCATATAAATTTTCTGAAGATGTTGGCCAGGGTGAGATGATCCGGGTTTCATAGCAGAGGCTCAGGCTGCAGCTTTGGGGTGTTTCTCTAGTTGGTAGGCAAAGCAGGGGAGGATCCCCATGACAATTTGGAGAATTTCAGTGGGTTGGAATGTCATTGAGAATAGAAAAGGGACTATTTTGAAAGTGATAAAAATGCACTTTCCAAAAAAGTAAGGAAGGACTGGGGATATAGTTCAGTGCTTCCTGGGTTTAATCCCCAGTACTCCCAAGAATGCAAAACCAAAATTTCCTTGAAATTATAATTTCAGAAGACTAGAAGTGGGCTAAAACAGAGTTATAGGTTGGAAAATAACGATGGATAATTCATTAAACAAAGAAAGTAGGACTCTGTGGGTTTGTGGAATTGAGAGAGGGTTTTTCAATGTTGGGCCTGTCTTCTTCCTGAGGTGGGCTGTTAGAGCACGTCCTCCATGGTAGAAGGTACAGTGAGAAAGGACAGAGGGGAGGGCTACAGCTGAGGAGGCCTTAGAGGCCCACCATTGCAGGAGGGCTGGCCCTGGGCCAGAACAAGGACCATTCAAATTAAGTTCAGGGCACACAGGTCCACACCTTTGGTGGTAGGAAGAAGCCACTTCCTGTTGGCTTCCTTCTTCCCATCACATGCTTGGGAGAGATACAGAGTAGAGCAGTGCTGGAGATTTGACACTTTAAAATACTCTTCTCTTTAACCCTTCGCATTGGATCCACAAGTTCTATTAGTATCCCAGCTCAGGTATATTTTTAAAATAAAAGGCAGGCATGGTAGCATGCATTTATAATCCCAGCACTTGGTCGGCTGAGGCAGGCATATTGCTGTGAGTTCATGTTCAGCCTGGGCTACATAGTCCAAGACCAGCCTCAACTATAGTGAGACCCTATTGAGAGAGGGAGAAGGGAGAGAGGAAAAATACCCAAGTTCCTATGGTTACAGCTCGTTTCCTTTTTTTAGAAGGTGGGGTTGGGATTGAACCTAAGGCCTCAGCATGTGCCCTACCAATGTGCCCTGCTCATTTGTTAGCACCTAGTAATATTTCATTATATGTGGATGTATCACAGTTTATTGACCCATTGAAGGACATCATAACTTGAAGGACAGGCTGGGGATGTATAGCTCGGTAGTTCCACTGCCTGCTTCACAAGCACAGGGTTCAATCCCCGGAACAAATAAAAAAACAAAACAGAAGCCTTGAAGGACAAGATCAACACTGCTCTAATCACTCATGTATAAGTTTTTAAATGGATATAAGTTTTCAGTTCATTTGGATAAATGCCTAAACTTTTGTTTTCATCATTTCCTATTTCTTGCCATTTTGTTTCTTGTTTTTGTCCCCTATAATTTCTGTAAGGACAGTTTTATTTTTAGAGAGAGTAGGAAGGGTTGCTTTATTCACTGATGTATACCAAGTACCCAGAGCCTAATGTGATAGGTCTTTGGTATACATTGGCAAGGTCTTACTTTTAAAAATCTCTACTATCCACAACATGTGAGGGAAATTAAATTATACTTTTTAAAAATAGTGGTGACCCAGTATTTCTTATTGAGTGCCAACTTCCTATTTATTCACAAGAGAGATTAGCTTCTAAGAATGCTGCCAATGATATTGAAATAGGTACCAAAAACCCTGAAGATGTACTCTTTCTTCTTGTCACTGCAGTTCAGCTTTAGGCAGGGCTATTAAAGAAGAAAACGCATGTTTTTTTTTTCTTCTTCTTTCCTCCTACCCATGGCTCTTGCTTTAGTTTGTAATATAACTATAAGTTGACGTGATTTATATCTTAACATTTATACTGCCTCTATAATTGCTATAGCTGTTTAATTTTAGTACTGAATTTACATGGCTTCTGGCAGATTTCTAAGCTGCTTGTAGTTCCTCCCATTCTTGAACCCCTGTTATCGATTTATTTCTAGGCTAGCTTGTTTGGTCTTCCAGTAGTAGTGTGTCTGTGAGTGTGTGTGTGTTTGTGCATGTGCATGTGTGTATTTTTGTAAGAATGGGCTCAGCTACTTTGTTTTCCTTTATCACTGAGTTCTTACATTTCTGTGCAAATCTGTTTGCTTCTTAATTATACTTAAAAGATTTGTATAGACTTGATAACTTTCTATTTTGTAAGACATAAACATACTTCTGACCTTCTTGACCCCTTGTGGTAAAGGGTGTGTGTGTTTTTATACCTAGTTCTCAATGGAGCCCCTGGGTTCATCAACTTGTGTGATGCCTTGAACGCCTGGCAACTGGTGAAGGAACTCAGAGAAGCTTTAGATCTTCCCGCTGCAGCCTCTTTCAAACACGTCAGCCCCGCAGGTAAATGCCTTGTAGATGCCCCAGATGGGTTTTTTTAAAAATCCAAAAATAAAACCACTTTGCCAAGTTTAGTGATATCAACACAGTAATACAGTAAAAATCTGATAATATGTACATAATTATGTGCTCAAAAAATCAGCCATGGCCTTTTTATGGTGTAACTATGAAGGATTAGAAATAAAAGTGAAATGGCTTAATGTTATATACCAAAATAAATTTTTTCTTTTTGGTACCAGGGATCGAACTCGGGTCCTTGCGCTTTGAGGGAGGCAGCAGAACCACTGAGCTAAATCCCTGGCCCCCCAAATACACATTTTTTTTACATGTTTGAAAATCCTTAGTAAACCTAAAAAAAATTGTTCATAATACTTTATAACTCTTTATAGCCATTATATGAGATGCCTTTTTGCTTTTGCATTTAAGTTCTTAATTCACAATTTATATATGCCAGCCACTAGGTCTGTTGGTGGTCCAACACAAAATGGTCCTCCGTATTTATTGGAAAGTAAAGCGTGATGAGTAGGGAAGAAATAAATGTGAGATACCACAGAACTAAGACAGTCAGTAATGAAGAGATCCAGCTTCCTGCACAGGCACTGTCGGGCTTCAGCAGCACTGTGTTTGTAGAGGCCAGAGAGGAGTCCCTGCGCACTGCAGCTGGGCTTTATTAATTATTTGGCTAAGTAGATTTTTATTTAATTTGGCATAGGTGCTAGAAAATACGCTGCACAGACTAGATACTTTTTAAAAAGCCTCGATACAGGAATTGACAAAAAGCAAGTGGAGGTTTGAGGCTTATTGATTCTTCATGGTTTTCTTGACTAGGTGCTGCCGTTGGAATCCCACTCAGTGAAGACGAGGCCAGAGTCTGCATGGTCTATGACCTCTACAGCACCCTCACACCTATATCGACCGCATACGCAAGAGCAAGAGGTCAGACTGGTGGGGAGAAAAAGCATAGAATAGAATAGTAATGTCTTTTGTTACATTAGGTTTCAAATCATCTCCACTTTGTTTACTAATATTTAAGAATGAGTTTATGACTGCCTCATAGTAGATTTATTTATACAAATACAGTAGAAACATTTGAATATTTGTAGAAACATTGAAATTGGTACATGTAATTTCAGATTAGGCTATTAAATGTATTTTTATTCATATAATAAAAATTACATGATTATACTTAAACTTATGTTTTATATGTTTCAGAAACATCTAATTCTTGGATATAATAGCGTGGATATTATTATGATGTTTATGGAAGTTTTTTGAGAAACTTATAATTAATTATATCTAATAGGGGTCAGCAAACTGTGGATCTTGCACTGAATCCAGTCAGATTCCTGTTTTTGTTAATACAGTTTAATTGGTTTAAGGCCATATGCCTCTTTGTCATGAATTTTCACTGGCTGATTTTAAACTATGATTGCAGATTTGAGTAGTTACAATAGAGACCATATGTCCACAAAGCTTCAAAGTGATTTACTGCCTAGCCCTTAGAAATGTTTGCTAGATGCTACTATAGAAGGTAAAATTAAATACTTCGCTAATGATTTTTTAAATTAAAAAACATTGATCTGTTATTTAAATATTATGTAAACAATAAGATTACCTTAAAGAAGGATTTCATTTAATAATATGGGGATTTTTAAAACATCTTTTTTGTGCAAGTATTCTGTGTAATGTGTGTTTTATTTTCATTTTTATTTACAGGGGCTGATAGAATGTCTTCATTTGGTGATTTTATTGCATTGTCTGATGTTTGTGATGTCCCAACTGCGAAAATTATCTCCAGAGAGGCTAGTGGACATTCATATAGTGTGATCTATGTGTAACTGAGTAAAGTGTTTTGTTTATAGTGTTCATTGAAACTATAACTTGTAATATTTATATTTGCACTAGCTATAAATTAAATTTATCATGTAGGGTGTTTGATTATATTTTATAGAAAACATGAATCCTTGAATTAATATGAAGATGTAGTGACTCTTTAAAATGAATAATTGTTTTGATAAAATTTTTCTTTGTGTATTTCATACTTTTAAGTTTTGTAGTGCATTCCAAAAAGAACCATCTTGGGTGGTGGTCAAATAGGGAATCTTAAACTGTAAACCTTTACAGATCTGAAAGGAGCTATATAATTGGAAAAAATGTAAACTGCTTTGATAAGCTAATCCTTATCAGTTTAATATTCAAAAAGTTTAGGATGCTCATTGGTATTGGGGAGACAGAAAAAAAAAAGAGAAGGTAGCTCGAGCACAGAGGGAGGAAAATAGAAAGTAAAGCGACATGTTTCTGTCCATGACCATTACTGCCCCAACCGCAGTGGAGCTCACATTGTTACAGGTTGTAGCAAAGCTATGACATTTGTATTGTTAGTTCTAAGATGTTAACTCTCCATACTCTTGTCTTGCTGTTGAGCAGCATGTCTCACCAAAGGAATAAGAACTGTTTTTTCTCCCCAAGGTACATGAATTAGAGTGAATCACTCATATATTTGTTTAGTTAAACAAAAGAGTCTGAAGGAACAGCAAGCAAGATAGAGTCAGCTGTAAAGAGTAAGTCTAGGGCCAGGGATTTAGCTCAGTGGTTCTGCCGCCTGCCTCACAATTGCAAGGTCCTGAGTTCTGTCCCTGGTGTCAAAAAAAAAAAAAGAGTAAGTCTAGTCTGACAAAGAATTTTTTTAAGGCTTAGTGTTAGCATTGTCTGTTGGAGATAGAACCAGAAAGTACTACGGCGTTATTTAGGACAGATAATTGTGACTAGATTCTTCAGAGGCTTTCTCTGTTTTTTTAAAAATAAAGATTAACTTTAATATACTTACAGGTATCCGATGGGATTATTGCCACAGGGTATGAGGAAGAAGCCTTGAAAATACTTTCTAAAAAGAAAAACGGAAATTACTGTGTTCTTCAGGTTAGTACAATTCAGGTTTGCAATAATAATTTGCCCTTTTGTCTCCTTTTTCCCATGTTTTACGCTTTCCTTATGGTGACACCCTTCTGATTCATCCCACTTTATGGCAGTTTTTTAAACCCTGCAATATTGTGTATTATTGATTTGGGGGTTTAAGATAAGGATAGCCACTTTACTCTTAATTTTGCTTTTTAATTAAAAAAAAAATTTTGATCCGGGAGTAGTGGTGCACGCCTGTAATCCCAGCACTCGGGAGGCTGAGGCAGGAGGATTGCTGTGAGTTCGAGACCAGCCTGGACTACATAGTGAGTTCCAAGTCAGTCTCAACTACATAGTGAGACCTTATCTCAAACCGCCCCCAAAAAAATATTTGCATGGTATCCAATTCAAAAGGTATTAGATGTCATTTAATGGAAAGATCTTTCCATCCTTCCCTTCTGTCACTCTCTTACCTCTTGTTTCTTGTCTGTATTTTTTTAAACAGTGTCTCACAGTGTAGTCGATCACTAGGTAGATTGGCCAAACTTTGACTCTTGTGCTTCAGCCTTCCAGGTTCTGACATTACAGTCATAGGCTGCCAAACCCAGCTCGTGCTGATATTTTCTACCAAAACTGATGTGTGGCAGGGAAAGTTGCTAAGTATTAAAAGCATTGGTTTTACAACTGTCAGGGGATTTAGAAATTGGAGCATAAAACATACTAATTAAGTAAATTCAATGGAAGGATTGGTTTCAGGATCCCTGTGGATACCAAAACTCTCAGATACTCGTATCCCTTATAAAACAGTATGGTATTTATTATAACCTGTTATAATACTTTTTTTTTTCTTTGTACCGGAGATCGAACTCAGGACCTTGCCATGCAAAGCCTGAACTAAATCCCTAGCCCCCTCCCATTTACTTTGACTCATCTCTAGACTATTCATAATACCTACTACACTCTCAAGTGCTATGTAAATAGTTACTACACTGTATTCAGGGAGTTAATTACAAAGAAAACAGTATGTGTTTAGTACAGATACAGTATTTTTTCTTTAATGTTCTTGATCTGTAGTTATTTGAATGTGTTGTTATGAAACCCACAGATACTGAAGACTGACTGTAAAATACCAATAATTCTTGGCTGTAAAATACCAATAATTCTAAAGTTCGTAGATTCTGTGTCAGCCTTTAAAGGAAAGAAGAAAATACCACATTAAATATACATCGTTTTTTGTTTTTAATCCACGTGTGTAAGTTTAACCACGCAATTAGCTACCACTATATTGTTTTGTTGCTGTAAGAGCAGTAAGTGTGCACAGCCATTAGCAGTTACACACAGCATTGTGGGATATGCCTTCCAAATCCTGAGTTCATCATCATGACCTTGCAGCACCTAACAGTGTCATGCTGGAAGTGACCCTGGGGCTCCCTCACAGTTTTGTCTGAGAATTTGGCCCCACTTGCACGTGATTATGACCATGAAACAACTCCCTCCTCTACCTGACTAATGACAGGTTTCTTTTGATGTCAGCTAATGGGAAGGCACACCAACATTAGAAATGTCACAGTGTATACAATAAAAGAACACTTTACAACTCAAGAAAATGTCCGTTAGATAGATGTAACATGTTGGCAGGGGCTTGCTTATAAATTATAGGTATAAATTATATTTGCTTTCCAAGTCAGAGATCATCCAAAAGGTAAATAAAGAAATATGTTAAGTTTAGAGATATATCTCGAAAGAGAGTACTCTTACATATAATGTTCTCTACGACTGTCTTTTTAATTCAAAATTTGGGAGGGGAAAATAATAAGTGATATAAATTCCCTTCCGGATAAGTCATAGACTGCAAATCCTCTTTTCTCTACGTTAACTTGTAATTCAGGTGTTAGCTAGGTTCTTTGTACAGATTTAAAAAGCAAGGAGAAACAATGTGATTTTTTGTGCCCTAGCCTGTTAGCAAATCTTTTTTATCTGCTGACCTTCCAAAAGGACTGTATAGATAGTAACTTTTAGTTAATGTAATGTTACCAAAAATATGCTCATAGACTCATCGGTTTTAATATATTGTTTGTAAGTTGTAAATTAATATCTATTAATTTTCTAGCAAAGTACTATTGCCCAGCCATTATATATATACTCATACTAAAATGATGGCAGACATTTATTTTAGAAAAATGGATAGAACTTTACTTAGAATAAAATCTTGTGTACAGAATGTTAATATTTGAATAATATAGATATAATGCAGCTTTTTAAATTTGTGTCTTAGATGGACCAGTCTTACAAACCAGATGAAAACGAAGTTCGAACTCTCTTTGGTCTTCATTTAAGCCAGAAGAGAAATAATTGTGTCATCAACAAGTCATTATTTAGCAATGTGGTTACCAACAATAAAGATGTAAGTTTGACAATACAAGAACTAAATGCTAATAACTTTAGTAGGTGTGTTTTCACTGTATATAAGCTTAAACATGTATTAAATCCCTTGTCTATACAAACAGCTAGCTCATATTTGAGTTGTCAGGTGAGCTTAAAAAGTGAGTAAGAGATCACATTAGAAACTTGTGTGTACGTGTACACAATTCATAGGGATGAGTATCTTCGGTTATACATAAAAGGGATCATGTCTTCTGTAACTTGCCTGTTTTGCATGCGTGAGGCTGTAGGTGTGTTTCCATGTCCATAAATTTAGAGGCACATTTTTGTCTGAAGTCACAAGACAACCCGTGTATAGATGAACTATGATGAAAATTCAGCTTGTTTCAGTTTTGCTATGATTAATGTTTTTGCATAGAGTAGTATCCAACCTTTTGGCTTACCTGGGCCACACTGAGTAAGAAGGAATTGTGTTGGGCCATATATAAAATATGCAATATTATTAATGTATATCAGTAATACAGCTTTGTTTTTAATGTTTTTATTATAACAACAACAACAAAAGGATAGGTGGCCTGTAGGCTATAAGCTCAACATGCCTACAAGTTTTTGTCCTTAGGCTCTTAAGAGGGACATGTATATAGGATAATGGTGATTAGATGTAGGATTTTCAATGTATTATTTCATTTAATCTCAGGCACACTATGGGAGGTGACTACTGTCAAGATTGTAAAATTGTGACAGGGTAGGGTACAGTTAGGAAATTTTCAAAGGTTGCGCAGTAGGGAAATGGATGGGCTGGTATATATTCCCTAAAATACCATTTTTTGTTTGTTTGAATGTTGGAAATTGAATAAAGGGCCTAATGCCTATTAAGCATACACTCTGCCACTAAGCTACAGCCCCAGTCCGGAAAAGTGGGCTATCAGTTTTGAAGGGTATTTTTCTGGGTCTAATGTTGATAGTAGTTGTTGAAGGTGTCCTGTTGATGTGCCTGAAATGATTGCCTGGATGCTGACCATTGTCCTGGTCCTCCCCAGAGAGTTGACTTATATATCCAGCAGGCAGTTACAATAGAGCATCTCACCTCTTACTGTCAGAAATTGAGCTGGTTTGAATTTGGGCTTCAGTGTTCATGGGAACCAATCTGTTCATGATTCATTCCTGATCTGCCAGAGCTCAGGTGCCAATGAGCCCCCTTTTCTCTGGTGTACTTGGAACTCCATCATTTTTCCTTAGCCCTGTAAGACTTCCAGAAGCTGTGCTCAGCTTATTTACCTCTCAGTTTGTTGCAAGCTGCTTCGAAAGAACGTGGAGGGGAAAGGCGTGGATTGTCAGACTCATTTCTTCCTGCTCCCTTTATCTTGGGATCTTTGACTGAATTAGAGTATTAGAGCTTGGTACAGCTTCTCGGCTTGTTCTGAAAGATAGTCTCATACCATTCACTGCAGCAGAAGCAGAAGAGCAAAAGGGAACCACTTTTGTTCTCAGATCTCACTCCTGAGGTCTGAGAACCTCAGGAACTCTACCTAGAACGACTGCAACAAGCTCTAAAGTCTTTATTGGCGAGTTTTGTCTGCTAAGCATCTGGTGAATCATTTTTTTTTGATCCATTATTGGATACTAATCCATTTTTATTTGTGAAAATTAATGGTACACTGGAACATGTGGGCATTGATGCAGGTAGGAATCTTTAAGCCCTTGAGAATTTACCCATTTTTTAAATTTTTCTTGTAGGTCTGTAGATATTGGAGTAATTAATAATTTAACATCTCTGATAGGTTTTATGCCTCTATTTTTTGTAGTAATGAGAGAGGGTAAAATTGTAATCTTTTATCTAAATTCTTCTCTCCTTGTTTTCTTTGTATTCTAAGAAATTTAGAAACATGAGTAATACTGTTATCCTCCTTTATAGTCTACTTCTTTTACAGCATATTGTTCACATTCCTCTCAGAATCATTAGATAGCACTACTATGTCTGAAACTGTTGCAGCCTTGAGAGAGCTGGTTAAGTGGAATGAGTAGTAGTAATACTGAAAACGTTTCAGCAGTTTCCTTTGCTCCTATTTTCCTTGGGTAGTGCTTCAGTCTGTTAGTCTCTCATTCCCACCCCACTAGCATTTCCTGATCCTAACTCAGAATCCTTGGGATCTATCTGAAAATAGACCTCCAGGAAACTGGCTTTTGTTACAAATCTTTCTTGGAACCTAAGGAATCAATTTTTTTTGTACCAGAGATCAAACTCAGGTCCTTGTGCTTGCGAGGCAGGCAGCAGAACCACTGAGCTAAATCCCCAGCCGTAAGGAATCAAATTTATAGGTGGTGACTTAACTAATAAAAAAATGTAAGAAAGGGTATATAGTATATTACTAGCACCTTACTGTAATAAATTCTTAAGCAATTATTTCTTTAAGTTTTTTAATTTTAAAATAAAAAATAACTAGGTTCACAGGCGATTGTCCGTGTTCCTGTGACCCTTTGTCCTGTCTCTCCTAAAGCAGACATCTTTCGGAACTGCAATACAATGTTGCAGCCGTGAAGTTGACACAGATAAGGTACAGAACTCTCAGGACCCCTCCCATTGCTCCTGTAGTCCAGGCTCCTGTGCTGCTTCTGCCATGCCTTGGCCTTGGGCGATCACTGATCTGTTCTCCCTTTTTGTAATGTTTATTTATTGTACATTCATGCGCTGCTTTTTATGTGAATATGTTTCTATTTCTCTGGTGAGCCCCCAGGAGTATTAATTGCTTTGTGGCGTGGTAGTTGTATGTTTATAGTTAAAACTATGAAAGTGTTTCCCGGAGTGGTCATATCATTTTATATTCCTACAAGCAATAGACAAGTGGTGCCGTTAAGCAGGCTTTGGGTATTGTCACTATTTTTGTTGTTCTTTAAGACATTCTGGTAAATGTGTATTTATATCTTAATATTCCTAATGGAATTTGCACTTTCTAATAACTCATGATGTTGAACATTTTTGGATACACTTTATTTGCCACCCACATATCCTTTTTGATGAACTCTCATTTGCCCATTTTCTAATTAAACTATTTTGTTGTCTCTGAGTTTAGAGGTTTTTTGGGTGCGGGTATGTTATAGGTCCTAGTTCTTTATTCATTATGTAATTTTCAGATATTTCCTTTCAGTCTGTAGTTTGTTTTCTCATCTCTTAAATAGGGGTCTTTCACAAAGTGGAAACTTGATTTTGATGATGTTAGACTTACTCTTTTTTCAGTTATCTAATTTATCAGTTATGTGCAGTTAATATTTGTCCACCTAGCATACCAACTTGAATCTCTTTAAAGATAGTGACATTATTGACTGTTCTGCTGATAGTTCAAAATACAATGCAATTTCAAATGGTTTCTGTTTGGAACATTCTAAACAAAGAAGAAAATGACCTTAATTTGATTTTCGTTGAACAGCCTTGGCGGTGTGTATGCATACAGTGGTCCTTAATATCCATGAAAATTATCTCAGCACTGTTTGTGAATGCAAGATTTATTTTGTCTCCAGATACTTAAAGGCACTGTGGTCAGGAAAATATTATTTGTCTGCTTTCAAATGAAAACACTGTTCTCTTTCGCATGATACACATAGGCTTAATCCAGCCTTGCTGCAAAATGGCACTAGTTTGAGTCCATTACACGTTGGGCATTGTATGGAGGTCCGCCACAAATATGTTAAATATTTGATCCTTTTAGTAAAATATGGTAGTATGTAGCATGAAAAATGAATTTCACTCTCTCATTTCAGAGGCATAACTACTTTATAGATTTGTTGCATAAACAGGCAAGTAAGAAGCTTACAATTAAGTGAGTTTACAGAGCCCTGTGCCACTTACCATGCTGTGTTTGTTTCAGTTGTCAGAATCTGCCCTCAGAGACCTCATTGTTGCCACCATTGCTGTCAAGTATACTCAGTCTAACTCCGTGTGCTATGCCAAGAACGGGCAGGTAACCAAGCTGTCAGACCCACCCCAGGGGTACTGTTGTTTTACAAAAATGATATTCAAAAATCCATCTGCCTCAGGTACTGGACAGCTTGAAAGGGAAAACTTGCCAAGTTTTTCTCTTCTGGGTTTGTCAGTATTTACTCAGCACCTTGGTAGATTGTTAAAAATAATGATGATTAAGAAGTAGCTTTGGAACCAAGTACTAAAATCGGTCATTCACCTCTTGCCTGGAATGTGTTGGCACATTTTGGATTAGTGAGGTGCTAATAGGTGTTATAAAACTGATTTCATCACTCTTATTTCCCCCATTGGTAGAATTTCCAGTGAAGAGGCAGAAAGGAATGGTACTGCCACCCGTCAGGCTGTATTTTTGCAGCTTGCGAGATATTTCCAAATATACATCTTACGTTGTCTTTTCCCCCCTAGTTCTGGGTCTGGAACCTAGGGCCGTGTTCATGCCAGGCAAGTGCTTTACCACCAGGCTACACCTCCAGTCTCTTATGTTGTCCACCAAGACTCTGTTAAGAGAAAGACTGCTAAACTAGGAATTAACCTGATCTTTAAAATCAGATTTATTGAGGTATAATTATAAATGTGCAGTTGGTGCAGTTTTCTCAAATTGTACACTTGTGTGATCACTGCCACAATCAAAATACAGACCATCCCCACCTTAAAATGGCTGAATTTAACAATATTTTGATTTTAGCATAGTATGAAAGTATGTCCATATTACCATTCTGTTTTTTACTTTCAGTAAATTATATGAGGTATTCGGCACTTTATTATAAAATAGGCATTGTGTTTAGATGGTTTTTCCCAATTGTATAGACTAAGTACAGCATGTAGAAGGTAGGCTGTGCTAAGAGCTGTGGTATTTGATAGGGTAGGTGTATTTAGTACATTTTTGACAAAATATTTTCAGCTTACTATGGGTTTGTAAAGATATAAAACCATTGTAAGTTGAAGGTCTGCAGTGAACAATTCTTACTATATATTAACTTCTTTCCTTGTATTGGCCATTGAATACAAGATTGAGCTGTTTAGTCACTAAGGTCTCACCTAACTTATTGTTGAACTTGATTTTTCTCAAGCTTCAGGACCAGAAGCTCTTCTCACAGTGTCTTCAGCTTATCTCTCAGCACGAATTGGGACAGATGGATATTAATTAGCATGATACCCGGAAGACCCTTTCAGAAGTTTAGCTATTTCAGCTGGGCGTGGTAGCACACGCCTGTAATCCCAGTACTCAGGAGGCCAAAGCAGAAGGATTACTGGTAGTTAGAGGCCAGCCTGGGCTACATAGTGAGTTCAGAGCCAGCCTAAACTGCAAAGGGAGACCCTGCTTCAAAAAAAAAAAAGAAAAAAAGGAAGTTTAGTTATTGCCAACCGTTAAGATTGTCAGTGTCTAATAACAAAGCTGTGGGAGGTTGTAGATACTGGTGTCTTTGGGTTGAGGTTTCATGCAGAATGAGGGCTTCACTGCTTATGTCCTTTGAGAAGAATGCGTTATCAGTAGAGGTATTCATTGCGTGTCTGTGTCCCTCAGGTTATTGGCATTGGAGCAGGACAGCAGTCTCGAATACACTGTACACGCCTTGCAGGAGATAAGGCAAACTATTGGTGGCTTAGACACCACCCACAGGTGCTCTCAATGAAGTTTAAAACAGGAGTGAAGAGAGCAGAAATCTCCAATGCCATTGATCAGTATGTGACTGGCACCATTGGCGAGGTAAAAGGCTTATCATTGAGTTCTGGCCAAACTGCGTTAATATGTTCACCCTTTTATGTGTAACAGACTTTCATGTAACCACAGAGGAAAAAAAAAAAAAGGTATTTTCCTTGCAATTCTATATTGTCTAAAGTTGTTAACCAAAACTTCACAATTCGCTGTTCTTTTTTTTTTTTTTTTTTTTTTTTTTTTTTTTTTTTTTTTTTTGTATCGGGGATCGAACTTGGGTCCTTGCGCTTGTGAGGCAGTCCACCAAACCGCTGAGCTAAACCCCCGGCCCACAATTCGCTGTTCTGTCTCATTTAACTTCATTGTTTTATCCCTTTCTTAAACCACAAACCATCTCTTTTTTAAAGTTAGTTTTATATGATTGAACATCCCCTGTGGATTACAAGCTTTTTATGACAAGGACTGTTTTTAACCCATTTTGAGGTATCTCTCAGTGTCAGGCAGAAGCTTGCTGATGACAGATGTGTATTCAGCATGAAATACAAATTACTTGATATTTTCTACAAGTGGCACTAACAACTCAATATATTTTTGTTACCTTTCATGTTTTTAAACATCTTCTGTTTTGTTTTTTTTTTGTACCTGTTATTGAACTCAGGTCCTTGCACTTGCGAGGCAGGCCACCGAACCACTGAGCTAAATCCCCGGCCCCGTAAATGTCTTCTGTTTTGAAGGAGTGTGGGGAGCATTAAAGTTGCAAATGTCAGAAAACCTACCAGAGGAAAAGATTTGGACATAGGGAAATAAAAGTTTCTGGACATAACAAGTGCCTCATAAAATACTGGATGAAAAACAAAGGTCTGGTAGTCAAAAATTGGTGGTCTCCAGAAGAGGTGAACCATGTTAAATGTCCTTTCAGCAGCAGGCTACATAGTATAGTTGAAGAGGAAGGCTGGCTGCACAGTGTGCCTTGCAACCTGAAAGTACCTAACATATCTTTTCATTCTTACTTTACTACTTGGGTTTTTCTGTTTAGTACTACCCAGCAAATGCCTGCTAATGGTCTGGGAAGAATCTTTACATATAAACAAGAATAAAACTATGTTAAAATCAAAATAGAATTATATTTTTAAGTAAAGTATCCTGTCCATTTGTGCTACTGTTTTGGAGTGCCTCAGACTGAGTAATTTATAAACAACAGAAACTCACTTCTCATAGTTCTGGAAGCTAGGAAGTCCAGGGTTGAGGTGCCAGTAGGTTTGGTGTCTGGTAAGGGCTAACATCTGCTTTCACACTGACACCTTGTTGTTGCATCCTCTGGAGGAGACAGGTGCTGTGTCCTCATGAGGTGGGATCAGCGGCCTACCCTCTCAAGCCGATTCATAGGTGCTAATCCATTCCTAATGACAGAGGCCTCATAATCCCCCTAACACCTCACCTCTAACACTGTTGTATTGGAGATTAGGTTTCATCCTAAATTTTTAAGAGAACTCAGACTTTTAAAGCCTACCAAGTACTAGAATCTTGTTTTGATTTCTCTATAGCTAACTTAACTGGTACTTCTAGGATATCTGTAATCTATTTCCTAGATTGGGTGTGGAGGATTCCTTTGAACACTCATATTTGGAATGTGATTTTTTTTGGTAGGTTTAACTTAAACATTCAAGAACAAATATTTGGAGTAAATGCATTTAAATAGTCAGATGATAATTTTTACTTGGGAAACTTAGAATTACTTACTTAATGAAAATATTTTTTAAAAACCAAAAATCTTCTAAAGATATGTCCTTTAGATATTTCATTATTTACAATTCAGAAGTCATAGAAAAAAATGCCATGTGTCTTCTGGTTTGGGATTTGTACCAGGTACAACTATAAATGATGTGGAATTAACCTGACCTTCCCCCTCCCTGCTCTGCAGGATGAAGATTTGGTGAAGTGGAAGGCACTGTTTGAGGAAGTCCCTGAGTTACTCACTGAGGCAGGGAAGAAGGAATGGGTTGACAAATTAAGTGAAGTTGCGCTCAGCTCCGATGCCTTCTTTCCCTTCAGGGATAATGTCGACAGAGCTAAAAGGGTAAGTAGGAACTGATGCACATTTGCATGGACTTGAACATCATGCAGCATTATTTCAGAAATTCGCCTTGTGATTTGTAAGTTGTGAAGAGTTATATATCAGAGCAGTGACGATGTGATGTGAATCAGTAATAGAATTATTTGGCTTTTCCGGTTGATGTGTGGAAAACGCAAATATTGTTACTGTACTTTGCCTTTTTAAAAAAAGAGTAAACAGATTTGTTAGGTAGAGTTAAAAAACAAAAAGTACACACTCAGAAAATAGGGTGCAGGCCCTGAAGAGAGAAATCCCTTATTTTGCCTTTTGACTGAAAGAATCATTTTTAGTTTATGCTCTTTTGGAGGGGGATTTTGAATTCTGCAGGTTTTTACATACAGCTGTGTTTTGAAAATCTACTCATTCTTTCCTCAGAGCGGAGTGGCCTACATTGCAGCTCCTTTTGGTTCCACTGCTGACAAGGTTGTGATCGAGGCTTGCGATGAGTTGGGAATAGTCTTGGCTCATACGGATCTTCGGCTGTTCCACCACTAATGTTACTACATGTAAAGTTTCTGTGGTTTGCTTATGTGTAGATGAACGATCCTATGTGAAATTCTGAAAATATCTTAAAAAAAATAAAAACATGACATATTAATAATTGCACCCATAGTTTTAGGTAGTTGTGTTTTATTTGTCCTGGAGGTATTGCTCTTAGCCTCTAACCCTGAAACATGTCAGATCTGTGTGTGAGGAACACAAGAGCGTCTCTCCCTCATGGAGTCCACTGCCCCCACCACACTCCCTGTGTGAAACCCAGAAACCTGCAAGGACACTGGAGAAGCTGATCAGCCAGAGGATGGCACAAGCCTTAGGCTCCAGAGTTCCCTCATAAGCTTTCCTCTCAGGCAGGGTTTCTTTTCAAAGTGCTTCTAAGAAGCTTGATTGTCTGCTTTCTAACAAACAGCAGTGTATCCCCTGGGAACTGAAACCTTGCTGGATTATTAGTGAGTCATGTTGACCCCTCTGGAAAATGCTTGCTGGTACATGCTTTCTTCTCTGTTAGTGAAATGTTGCCCATAACTTCAGCAGCCTGAGATCACCTCTCTGGAACTGCCTAAACAAACTATCAGGATGTGGAGTGTAGTTTGGTGCTAGAACGTGTGCTTAGCATCATGAGGCCCTGCATTCTTTCCTTACCACTAAAAAACCCAACATCAGAGAAACAAAAGACAGTCATCTGTGGACTCAGTTTCCTATCTAAGCCCTTTCAGCAGAAGCAAGCACAGTGCATCACGAAGATGTGACTGCCCCTCTGTGCCCTTGCATGTGCAGTCGTAGGTGTGACCTAGGCTACACCTCTAGTCCACCTGAGCCTATTGCTACTGTTCACCTCAGTAGAAGGGTCCTGACCATTTTCGGTATCTTCAGTATAGTCCCTCCCTAAATAAAAGCTTTTGAATTTTTAAAAGTTCATCTGCATAAGTCATTTACATATTGACTAATCTTCCACCCCTTGATGAGTATCCTCTGCTTTAGAACCAAAGCCAAAGCATGTGACCAATAAAGATCTGCAGAAAAGAATATGTGACTTGCAAGGGTGGGTCGCAAGACACTACAATCTCAATTGCTTGCTGTTCTGGGGTAAGTCCTCACCGTGCTATGAGATGTAAACAGCCCTCCCTCTGGGGACAAACCATTTTGCCTACACTGGCTGTCAGCCTTGTGAGTGAGCCCCTCCCGACATGGGCCCTCCCACATAAGCCCTTAGCTACATCTGGCTTCCCACTTGTTGAGCCACCTGAGCCAGAACTGCCTGATGGAGATTCTCATGAATACCTGACTCACACAGACAAGAGATCATATTGTAAGCCACAGTTTTGGGGGCTGGGAGGGGGATAATTTGCAGTGTCACAGTAAATAGCTAATAAAGATGTGGGCTCATAAACTATTAAGAGTGCTCTTTGTCTCCAAGTTATTGATTATTCTTTAGCTTGACCAAAGGTTAGCATTAAAGGTATAATTCAGTACTGTTTAATACTACGTAGTCTAGCCAGGCTTTCACTTCAGAGTCCACGAACTGCTACCATTTTGAGTCTTTAAAAATGAATGTATTATGGGCCGGGGACTTTGCTCAGTGGTAGCACCACCTGCCTTGCAAGTGCAAGGCCCTGAGTTCAATCCCTGGTACCAAAAAAAAAAGAAAAAAAAATTAATGTATTATGCTTTCATTTCTGGGAGGCCATGGGGAGATTTCAGTTCCAGTTCTGCACAATTCGTTCCAGCAACTGTAAATAGGGATGCAAATGGATTAATTTCTACATTTGTACAACAGTACTTACAATTGAGGTGTTTGGAATACCATTCTTAAAAATATTTATACAAACATGGCTAGACAATAAAAAGTTGCTCAAAAAGGATTAATATATAGAGTCTCTATCTTAGAATGGTTTGATTTCATAACGGTGCAGAAATGATAGGCATTCTGTAGAAACCGTACTTCCCATTGTGAATTTTGAATTTTGATTTTGTGCCTAATAATATGTGGCACTCTAATCCCAGGCTCAGCAGGAGCAGCAAGCTAGAGCTCCTAGCCACATAATTTGTGTATAAACAACTCTTACTCTGCAGCTGTGTTGGTAAGCAGGGGTGGTCAGTACATGTATTGAGTGGATCTTCGATGTATGATCTTTTCAGCTTACAGTGGATTCATCAAGACACAGCTCCGTGGTAAGCTGAAGAACATCAGTATTTGCAGTGGGTGGTCTGTTTCATTAAGTACTTCCCACTTCGTATCCATTATGTTGTTTGTCCCCTCTGAGGCTTTATTTCAAGAGTTATATTTTTCACATCTAATGTTTCTATTTCTGTTAGAATCTGTAATCTATCATGCTATTTTAAAATCTCTACCCTACGGGGTTCTGGTGTGTGGGCCCCAGCATCTCTTGTACCACTCCTAGTCCTGGCTGCTCTGACAGAGCTTGAGCAGGATTGCTGGTTTGCCCTCAGCCGCAAGGAGTTGAGGACAGGTTTGAATGCAGCAGCTATCGGGTTCTCACTCCACAAAACAACTCCTCTGTAGCCGATCCTTCCTCATTTTCCCCTCCTGCTGTCCTGCCAGGAAGTTAGGCCAGAGCCACCACCCTTCACCCACTGATGAAGACAGCACCAAGTTCCGTCCCTGGGGGCCTTGTATTTGCTCCATGACTTTGTACGAACTCAGGTTGACCTTGGTTGAAGTCACCAGTAGACAAAGAAGCTCAGCATTTGGGGAGGATCTGGAAACTGGAACCCATTAACAGTCTTTTAACACAGTTAAACCTTACGCCCTTCAACCCTGGAGTTTCACTAGTGTTGAAAATGAAAAACACAGAATCTGTTACCTCAGTGGTACCAAAGGGCAGAAGATCCAGGGCTGGGGATTTAGCTCAGTGACACCCCGCCTGCCTGGCAAGTGCAAGGTCCTGAGTTCGATCCCCAGTACCAAAAAAACAAAAAACAAAAAAACAAAAACAAAAACGGATAGGGGGTTTAAGGACAAAAACGGATAGGGGGTTTAAGGAGGGAATGGGATAAAAGAAAAGCTATTTTTTAAAAAATATATTTAAATTGGGGAGCACCTGGAGCTCAGGGAGGGAAGAACCCCCATACTTCTTTGCACCATTCATTGGAGGCACCCTTTGCTCCATCCCCTGTTGTCTGGTCCTTTACCCCTGCTTCTCTCCAGGTGCACCTTTTAGAAAGACCCTCACACCATGACCCTTAGAGCACAAAAACCTGCAGATCATTAAGCTCCCAATGCCATCCATTCTTAAACACTCTTTAAACCTTATATTTGCAGAACACTGCTAGGCACAAGCTTACCTTAAAGTATTATATGGACAAGTCATGAAAAATCTAAAGAATAACTTTGGTGCTGGGCATTGAGCCCAAAGCCTTCACACTGAGCCGTATCCTAGCCAAATGGTGGTGAACCTATAGCACACATGCCACAGCAGGCTGTTTGTGTCAGGGAGAGCTCTAAAAGGTTCACCATCACTGCCCCTTTTGCTTGTTTTTGATACAGGATCTAAGTCACTTGAGTTGCCCAGGCTGGGTTCAAACTTGATGAGCCTCCGTTGTCAGTTCCCAGAGTACTGGGGTTACGTGTCTACACCTGACTAAGGGATCGCTTTTAAACACTAGGTAACCCCCAATGCAGTCAAGAAATAGAACTTTGCTAACAGTCCCTATATTCTTATTCATGGCTTCATCTTCCCCTCCAGAAAAGCATTTCTGTGCCCTTTAGCATAATCACCACCTGTGTTGCCACTCAGCAGCTGGGTAACTGGGCCTTAATCGCTGGGAGTTTGCTTCTTCCAAAGGATGGAGGTGGATTCACTCCTCAAGGAGACTGGATAGTCCTGGGTAAAAGTCCATGCTCTGGAGCAAGGCTGTCTTCTGGAAACCCTTCTGCTGCTCACAAGTCAGGCAACCTCTGGTGATTCGCCTGGCCTTTCCCTCACTTTCTACTTGGAGAAGTAACAGCATTCACTCCTCAAAATTGCTCTGAAAAGTGAATGAGGTCACTTACGGTACCACCTGAGACACGATAAATGCAGTTTGGGGAAAATACTGGTTATTTTCATACTGCTTCTGTGTACACAGAAGTACTGGGAGATATATATAGATGAAGATGAAAATTTCTAAATATTTATGCATGTTTTGACCTCAGTTTCCAAAGAGGTAGCCAAAAAGATTCTGAATTCCTTAGATTTATCTAAGGTACATTTATCTGGGTGTGACACCTTACAACAAACAAAAAATATTAGACATTTTCTGTAACTAAAGTGGCATCTTTTACTTCTGTCAAGATAAATGCCACAATTTTAACCATTTTAAATTGTACAGTGCAGTGGTTTTAGTATATTTACAATGCTGTGCATCTATCTAGCTCCCTAACATTTTTATCATCCTAAAAAGAAATTTTACTCCTATTACCCACCCCCGACTGTCATATCCTAAGCTACCTCTTAGCTATTTTCTGTTTCAGTGGATTTGTCTATTCTGGACATTTCACATAAATGGGGTCATATGTCATCTTTTGTGTTTGGCTTCTTTTAACAGGTTTTGAAGGTTTGTGTTGCAGAATGTATCATACTTCATTCCTTTTTATACACAAATATTCTATCAACATTCCATACCACATTTAGCAACCCATCAGTTGATGGAATTTGGGTTCTACTTTGGGGCTATTATGAATAATGCTGCTGTGAACATGTATGTACAAGTTTAACGTGAACATGTGTTTTCTTTCTCTCGGGGGTATACCTAGGAGTAGAATTAAACTATTATATGGTAACTATATTTAACTTTTTGAGGAGTCACCAGACTGTTTCCATAATAGCTGCACCATTTTGTGTTTCTGCCAGCTGTGTGTGAGGTTCCAGTTCCTCCACCAAAGTGGCATGATTTTGACTCAAAAATAGCTTTTCAGTGTTCACCTCCACGTTGTCTACCCAGGGCCCAATGTGAGAGGCGGTGGCCTAGCCCAGGCAGTGCATCGTCTACAGTGAAAGGGAAAGTTCCAAAGTTCTGTGGTGCAGGGAGCTTCCCAGTAGTAGGACCCTTTGCCTGGTCTGTTTGACCTAAGGGAACCTGCTGTGGCCAGCAGCCTACAGATTGTGTGTGGCTCAGGCCCTGGTGGGAGGA